GGTTTAGATGGGTCGGGAGTTCTGGGGGGGGGGCTATCAGGGGGTGGCGAGTGGTTGGATGGGGCATGGGAGTCCCGGGGCTCTGTCTGGGGGTGGGGGTGTGGATAAGGGTTGGGGCAGTCAGGGTACAGGTAGGGGGTAGGGTCCTAGGGGGCCGGTTAGGATGGGGGGAGGATCTCAGGAGGGGGCAGTCAGGGAACAAGGAGCAGGGAGGCTTAGGTAGGGGGTGGAGTCCTGGGGGGGCAGTTAGGGGCAGGAGTCCCAGGAGGGGGCAGTCAGGGGACAAGGAGCAGGGGGAGGGTTGGGGGTTCTGAGGGGGGCGGGAAGTGGGAGGGAGTGGAGGGGGCGGGGCTAGGGCAGAACGGGGGTGGGGCTCCTCCCGTCCTCTTTTTTGCTTGCTGAAATATGGTAACCCTATTCAAAGGTGCTGAATACCCACAACTCCAGCTGAAGACAATGAGGGCAGTAGGTGCTCAGTACCTCTGAAAAATCAGGCCAGATATCATCAGTTAACAACCACTTTAATATGGTTTTCTGTGGGTGAAAAGGATCATTACCCATTATTTTGCGTAATCCATGCTTCCTTGTTTACATTTTGAACCTATATTTACATGCAATAAAACAGCTTGGAGAACCAGATTCAGAGTAAGTACTGTGAGTTTTTTTTAATACTAGAAAAAAAAAATCCATGAATAGCTTGTTGTTCCCAGCCTCTGCAACCTAGTTTTAGCACTGCTTCAAGACAGTTTCACATGAGGTAGCTCTTTAGGGCTGACAACCTGAAGCTTGAGAATCAGAGGAGATAGGAAAATTGAGCTTTTAAGCTTTCTATTTATTTACCAAACCTCCTGACACCCCCTAGCAATTTTTTTTTGTCAGATGAGTACTGAAAGTGGTAACCTACTTGGGTCCACTATAGTTAGACATGGTGGGTTGTATTGAAGATATACAGTCAAGACTTTGAATTTCTTCACACTTGTGAGTTCAAACCAGGTCGATAACATTAGCATTAGGTTTTTTTTAAGTTTAATTAATATGTCAGTGCTACATAACTACCTAAGAAACTGGCTCATTTAACAGTGTTCACTGATTTAGCAACCACTTGCTGCTGATCCATCATAACACCAAAGACTAAAGATAAGAGAATTGCTCAGTTTCCGAATCTGCCCTGCTGTGCTGTGTTGTATGTTACTAGAATCCCAGGATTTCACAACCACCTCATCCAGAAAGGTGATTCTCCATAGTGTTAAGAAAGGTGCATTCCAAATCCTTCTTGCCTTTCTGATATCAGTACCTCCTCAATTATCTCTATCTATATGATGTCATTGGCAGCGTCCAAGGCAATCCTGTTGCTAATTAATCACCACCAGTGACAATGTAATTAGCAGCTTAATTAGGATCATCATCTTCCACTAGTGCTGTAGCATTGGGCTAAGCCAGCTGTGAGGGACTGGCTAGATCTTACAGAACCCTACAGTTCCTGTGGAACCTCCCACTGAGAAGGAAGGCTGTCAAGACTCCCTAATTTTTCTCTCTGAAGGAGTTTCTTGATTAAACATTACCAAGGAAAGCAGCATTTACTGATTAGGCTCTCATTTGCTGTCGCACAGCCAGGGTACAGAGAAAATGCTCATTTCTGACATGTCTACTGGCAAACAAAGGTTGATTACCACATTCTTATGGATTGAAAGAAATCTGAAACATTGTTTGCATTACTAACAAGCTTTAAAAAATTAGGACTGACATCCTGAGTATGACAAAGCACTTCTTGCTGAAAGCAAAAATACATTTCCTTCTGTTGTCCTAATTTTTAAGTGTTGTCTTTTGGAGATTTTGCCAGATGGTTTCATTATGGGGGTCCCTCCCCCCTCCACAAATTGGTCTATTGGGAATAAACAGCGACATATTTGTTCTTTATACAGAAATGATCAACGATTTACATCAGGAGGGAATGCGCAGGCATGCCTCCTGCAATAAGTACATTGACCAAGTGAATTTGAAACAAGTTGGGGGAGATCCCACCATATTTAGATGTTGGCCCACTTCTTCCTTCTGTAGCAAAGGAATAGTTTTGATCCCTATGAGTCATAAACGAATGGGTGTGTTCTAGTGAGGTCCGGCAGGGATTGGTTCTTGGTCCTATACAAAAATATAGCTAAATGTAAATGTATACATCTAGGAACAAAGAATGTAGGCCATTCTTACAGGATGGGGTGGGGGGATTGTATCTTGGGAAGCAGTGACTCTAAAAAAGATTTAGCCATCAGGCCCCTCAATCAGCTGAACATGAGCTCCCAGTGTGATGCTGTGGCCAAAAGGGCTAATGCGATCCTTGGATGCATAAACAGGGGAAGCTCAAGTAGGAGTAGAGAGGTTATTTTACCACTGTATTTGGCACTAACGGTTACTGGTACCACTGTATTTGCTGCTGAATACTATGTCCAGTTGTGGTGTCCACAATTCAAGGATGTTGCTAAATTGGAGAGATTTCAGAGAAGGGTCATGAGAATGATTAAAGAATTAGAAAACAAGCCTTACAGTGATAGACTCAAGGAGCTTAGTCTATTTAGCTTAACAAAGAGAAGGGCAAAGGTTGACTTGATTACAGTCTATAAGTACCTATTGTCACAGTTCAGGACAAATTCAACTGTATCTCCCCTCCATGATCCAGCAAGGGCACCAACTTTTAGATTTCCAGCTCACAGGTATCACGTCTCTTGGGTGGAGACCATGTCTGTCTCCCTCCTGACCAGAGAATTCTAGGCTGCATGGTTCCCTGCCTGCATTGTGAATTCCCCAGCAAGCCAGACTGCCTAGACAGACCAGCACTGCACTTTGCTGTATCTTCAGAGGCCACACAACCCTTTATAAGCAAACACAGTTATTCTTAATATAAAAGCATTGCAGAGAAAATATTACAAACAACAAAAATACCTACATGCATGCTAATAAGTTTACCAGAGCTCATCCCCAACTCCAATAAGGGCTCTGGCAGGTGTCAGTCCTTCCAACCTTTCCCTAGGAATTGCTCCCTGCCCCCTGGGGAGAAGGTTCTGTCTGTTTGCTGAATCAGGAAGAAGACACTGAGACAGTGTAAACTCAGGCTATTTATCCAAAAGTCCTTTCTTTGTCTGTTGGTCTCTGGAGAATCCAATTTGACCCAATATATGTGAGCCATTCCAGGTGGTGGTACCTCTCTGCAGGTGTTACAATATGAATAAATTGGTCTAACCAGCCCACCCTCCCCCCACTGTTCTTAATTCCTGGAGGACTGTGGTCACCCTCCTTAATGGAATTATAGACAATCCCTGGCCCAAAATGATACATAAACTTAATATAGTAAGATCTCCCAAAGATCCCACAGGAAATTGCCATATCTGTTACACCTACATGGGGAACAAACATTTAATAATCGGCTCTTCAGTGTAGCAGACAAAGATAAAACTTGATCCAATGGCTCAAAGTTGAAGTTAGATAAATTCAGAAGTGGAATAAGGCATACTTTTTAAATAGTGACAGTAATTAACCACTGAAACCATTTACTAAGGGTCATAGTGGATTCTCCATCACTGACGATTTTAAAGTTAAGGTTGGATCTTTTCCTAAATTATATGCTCTGGGAAGTTCCATGGCCTGTGTGATGCAGGAGGGTAGACTAGATGATCACAGTGGTCCCTTCTGGCCTTGACATTGATGAATAATGGAAGGAGCTTCCTCTGCAGCATGGGGCATGGGTCACTTGCAGGTTTAAACTAGTGTAAATGGTGGAGTCTCTGTAACTTGAAATCTTTGAATCATGATTTGAGGACTTCAGTAACTCAGCCAAAGGTTAGGGGTCTATGACAGGAGTGGGTGGGTGTGGTTCTGTGGCAATGTGCAGGAGGTCAGACTAGATCATCATGATGGTTTCGTGGCCTTAAAGTCTATGAGTGGTTGAACATGTCAAGGCTTAGCACACACCTATTAGCAACCTTATTCAGGTTCTTTCTACCTTTCAAAAGGCTTTGCCAATCTAATTGACCTGGAAGATGCTCAAATATTATGGAAATGAGAGCCAATACAAACCCCTAAGATACAAAGATTTATGGAGCAAATTACAAAGAAATAAGGCTGAAAGGTGAAAACTTTTATTCCTCGACTTTCATCTTCTGGCTCATGATTTGAACCTAATTTGAGATCCCAGGGGGGATGAGCTTCAGCTCTTTAATAAAGAAGAGTCCCTTTTACAAAGCCACTGTGTATAATCTTGCTGACTTTGACACAATAAACAATCTTCAGAGGAGAAGCTAGATGAAGCTAGGCCTCCCTGGGACATCCATAACCTAAATGGATCAATGAGACTATGTAAATTCATCTCCTGTCAGCAAAACTGGGAAGTGAAGAGATGTGGCTGGATCATTGCCCTCTTGTGAACTTCCCAGGTGCCCCACCACACCCACAAGTCACCCCAAGAAGTCTCTGTCTCCAGGGTCCACTGAGACAGGCTCCATCCTATCTAGTTTACAGATGAAGAAACTGAAGTGAAGGGATTTGCCAAAGGTCACCCAGCAGGTCAGAGTTGGGGATAGAACCCATGTTTCCTGTCTCCCAGTCTACTGACCTCTGCACTGGCTCTTGCCTCCTCTTTTGAATAGAGGGGCATCCAGACCTAAACTTCCCAAGAGTTTGGGGGTCTACATGATCTATGATTTTGATTTAACTTATTTGAGAAATTGGGACCAGCCATCAAGTTCATATCCAATTTGACTTCCCCAAAGTACAGGCATTTTTTTGATCTGGCTTTTGGTTCAGGACTGCATCTACTCTAAAGATAAGTACCTGTATTATATTTTGTACAACAAGAAAAGTATAATACAAGTGCTACCAAGCTTCTGAGCTCTGAAAGATTTTAGAGTATGATTTTGCTAAATTATACATTGAGTGGAAGGATTGAGTCAAGTATTTTGTATTCAGCAGGGTCATTAGTGCTTCCAGGAGAGGTGGAACAGACAGCGACTTGCTATACACCTTCCTTTGATCAGCCTACTAATCTGGAGTTCGGGACCTTGTCAATTACACAACCATCAATCAGCAAAACACAAGAGGTATGAGGTCAGATTTATTTAAACATAGTTTTCTTTTTCCTGAGTGGATTTTAATGCTATTTCCATACAGGAACAGCGGGATGTAGAGGGAGCTTTGTGGAACTGCCTTGAACTGAGTTAGCAATTCATTTTTAAATATATTAAAAAAAATTAACAAGTTAAAGTAATTATGCTCTTTGATGGAACAGCTCCTGATTTGTGATGCACACTGCGGCTGTATAATAAATGAGCCGGTGAAATATATCACTTTTTTGCTTACCTGTAATTTTAGCCATTACATTTTTTATAATTGGTAAAGCTCACAGGCTATTCAAGCAACCTTTGTAGCTCCTGACCTTTTAACAAAACATTAGGTTACATAGAATGAGGGACCATTTAATTTCCTGATGGCTTTGGCAGTATTACACTACACAAACTCTTGCTGGGGTGAGTGCAGAAATCCATGTCCCAAATTGCAGCTAGAGAACAATTCCTTTAATGCCACATTAAAAACAAAACAAAACAAAACAAAAAAGAAAAAACAAAACAAAAAAGAATCCCTAGAACATATCTTGATCACAGATTTGGAGTTTATCTTTTGGAAATTATTGTCATTGAGATGCAATTCAGTATTAGCACTGTCTACCAGGTGAAGTGCAGAGGACTGGACCATGGCATGTCAGCAATCATCAGCAATCAATATATGTTTTAATTTAAATTGCCCCTTTCTCTCAGAATTTCAGCCCCACTCAAATCAGAATTGTAGGTCTAGAATGCTTGCAGGCTTATTTTATGTCTTTAAACCTCCCGACAAATCAGCCAGTGTGAACATTAACTTTAGAATAAGGAATTTTTCTGTTGCAGAGGTGGTTTGTTGTTGTTGGTTTTTAATTTTGTTTTGTTTTGGGTTTTTTGGTTAATCATTATAATGGACGCTGAAATGTTAAGATTGCTTCTGGCTAAAATCAGGCAGCTTTGCTAGTTTCATTTGGTTATTGATATCCTATGAGGCGTAAATCAAGATGATAAAGATATTTGACCAATAAAGGATTGATGCTACTGCATTGCATATGCAGTTTTGCCTGCTGAGCTCAAATGTATTTGATTCTTTGCAATCAACACTAGAAAATATACTGTTAAGAACAATTCTGCATTGGCAGGGAGATGGACTAGATGCTCTAATAGGTCTTTTCCAGTTCTAACCCATATGGTTCTGTGATTAAAATAAAAACCCCTGAAATGACCTATAAGATGGTAGTTAACCTCCATCTTTATACCTTTAGAAATATACATTTTTACACAAAAATACTATGACATATTGAAATGCATGTCCCAGGAGATTAATGTATGGGGACATAAAGAAGAAGGGGGTTGCAAAAATCTCAAGTGTTAATAAATGAATGCACATGACACTGGAAGCTACAACTTATGAGAGGTGGATGAAAATCCCATTCACTGCAGCATTTATTTCTATTAGAGGAACAGTTTGATCATACAGTAGAACCTTGGAGTTATGAACACCAGAGTTACGAACTGACCAGTCAACCACACACTTCATTCGGAACTGGAAATACACAATCAGGCAGCAGTAGAGACAGCTCCCCCCCCAAACAAATACAGTACAGTACTGTGTTAAAAGTAAACTATTAAAAAAAAAGGGAAAACAGCATTTTTCTTCTGCATAGTAAAGTTTCAAAGCTGTATTAAGACAATGTTCAGTTGTAAACTTTGAAAGAACCATAACATTTTGTTCAGAGTTACGAACATTTCAGAGCTACGAACATCCTCCATTCCTGATGTGTTCTAACTCTGAGTTTATACTGTACATAAAATAAACGGAGTGCTATAGGGGACAATGGAAGGATGTGAAGGTGTGCTAACATGCTTAATGCTTTACCGGATACAAAATAAAGCTAGTTCCTACCTTAAATTATACATGTGTTTATGGCCATCCACTTAGACAGTATAGTTAGGGGCTAATTTTCAGAGTTGCTGAGCTCCCACAATTCCAGTTGAAGTCAATGGGTGCTGTGAGTGCTCAGTACCTTGATAAACAAGTCCTAAGCTCTTCAGGACAGGGAACCTGCCATGGGACATGGGAGAAGATTATTTCCAGAGGCTCAAAAGAGCACAATCATCTCCATCCCTTCTTTCAACCCAAACATGTCCCAGCCCATCAAAACAGCTGTTGGAGGAGGGCAACAAAATACGGCTATCTATGCTGTGTTACTGGGATTTGGCTTTTCCATCCCCCACCCCCTAAAAATACTCCAAACCACTAGTATGCTACAGGATGCTGAAGGAGAGTCCATGTCACTGACATACTGTGTGAGGGATTTGGGAGAACGTGTAGTTTTCATCAAATGGCCACAGTTAATGTGTTTACTGAGGGGAAATTACATGCAAGTGTGCCTAAAGAGACGCTCATCTTCCTGAAAATTATCCCTCTCTCAAATGCAATGAGAACAAGGATGAGCGACTCAGTAACTTGTTCATTTTGGCTAGCAACTTAGCTTCCATTTTCTCCAATGGTTGTAGGCATGTGTGCTTCCCCTTATAGTAAAAATACCACGTGCTGTATGAATGCTGTCACAAACTGCAGCTTGTGAGTGTTACTGCCAGATATGAGTCCTTTACCCTAGAATACTCGTATCCCTAGCCCAGACAGTCATCCCTTTCTCAACTCCTACTCATGCCTTTCTTTCAGCCCTGCCATCCTTTTTCTCCACCCTGTGTATTCATTTCTGCTTCCCCAGTCCCCTCCTTTCTTGCTCTCTTTTCCCCACATGCTCTCTAGATGAACATAAACTTGCCATCCCACGATACATATATGCTTCCTTCCCTCATCACCTATCTCTGTCCAGTTAAAGTATTTATATAGTGCCAATCACTGTGTCATTATTAATTATTATTATTTGTATTATGGTAGCACCTGCAAGATAAAATCCTGTCCCCACTGAAGTCAGTAGCAAAACTCCCATTGATTTCAGTAGGTTCACAATTTTACCCATAGTCTTGTACCAAGATCAGGGTCCTATTGTGTTAAGTGCTGTACATACCCATAATAAAAGCAAGGGCTTGCCTCAAAGAACCTCCAGTCTCAAGACAAGACAGACAAAGGGTGAGAGGAAGAAAATGCCGTATGTCTATGCTGCAAAACCCCCCTGCGGCAGCAAGTCTCAGAGCCCGGGTCAACTGACTCAAGCTCGCGTGGCTCCCTCTACAGTGCTAAAAATAGCAGTGCAGATGTTCCCGCTCGAGCTGGAGCTTGGCTTCTGAGATCCACCCCTCTCTCTGGGTTTCAGAGCCCGGGCTCTAGACTGAGTGGGAATATCTACACTGCTATGTTTAGCCCCATAGTGTGAGCCACATGAGCCCGGATCCATTAAGCTGGGCTCTGAGAATCGTTGCCATGGGTTTCTTTGTTTTTTGCAGTGTAGACGTACCTATAGGTTAAGTGACTTGTCCAATGTCACACAGGAAATCTATGGCAAAAGTGTGAATTAAAGCTAGGTTTTCTGATTCCCACCTCAGTGCCTTAACCTCCAGACAATCCTTCCTTTCTCCAAGTATCTTAGCTCATCATTATGTTCATGTGTACTCTGCCTACACACATTTTTTCTATCTTTTCCACATGGGTATTGAGCTGGTCAGTTTTCCCTTGAACATACAATACATTCAGCAGTGTTTATCTGTGAGGAGAACCCTTTACATAATTTAAACAAGAGAACTGTAGATTGCCCCGAGTTATGCGAAAATAGAGGTTAGGAAGGACAGAATCAAGGCTTTTAGTTTAATGTATCTGCACAGAGATTAAATAAAAAGAAACTGAATTGCCAACTATTAATAGACTCTTGAAACTCTCAATTTAGGGTGTTTTATTTACAACATTACTTTGCAAAGTGGCCTCCAGCAAAATGCTCCAGTTATTAATCTGAACATTACATTCTTTCTTCTTTAATTTGGACTTGTGGTAGCTGTGAATGAAAATGATTCTTCCTTCAGAGGTGTCTCCGTTTGAGTAAATCACATGGGCAATCTTAAGAAAACTGGCAGTTCTTTAATAGAGCACAAATTCTATTCCCAGAGAGCTTCCAGAAAAGATTTCAATTAGATGTTAAATTAGACATACACATATTTCTCTCAGCTCCTTAGGCAAAAATAACAAGATAATAACTTGATTCACTGTTGTTTTTGTTCAGCTGTGAGGGATTCGGTGGTCCGTAGCAGAATTTTTTCCTTTTGAAATAAATCAGAATTTCAGTTTGCAATCTAAAGGCCTTTGGACTGATTTCCTTCATACGAGGCTGAAATGAAATAATACTTGGGAGAAGATAAAAACCAACCAAACCCACTGCTTTCAACGCTTGCCTGAGAGATGAAGCACACAAATAGACATACAGCTGAACTAGACTTTTTGAAACTTGCAATGAGGAGATAACAGAGTGAAGTCTGGTGTGTTCTACTCTTACATCCAATTTCATTTGGAATTACATGTACATTTTTCTTTTTTACAAACACTTTTCCATTACACATCTGCATGTTCATGAAATGGTTTAGTTAAATGCAAATCAAGACAAGGTCATAGTGGCTGAATGTGTATTCTCAATATCATAATAGCTTTGGTGCAGAGGTGACAGATTTGATTTTGTAGAACTGCTACAAAGGTTTACTGCAATCTGAGATTTTCTTAATTTAATTACCTGTAATCATGGTATCAGACACCGTTACAGCTACAGCAAATGGAAAAACATTTTGAGATTTAATAATACATTATAGGGTTTGTTTTTGGATTTTTCTCTTAACTGAACACTTAGAAAATTAAGATAGATCACTGTTAGATCTTAAAGGCATACTCCATGGCATGGTATTTTAACAGGCTTCTCCTGGGAGAATTAGTGGAATGGGTACTGAGTGGGTTGAGGGAGTAGGACTTTAGTTTTGGTGGGTCAAGAGAGCTTGTTTGTGGATATTGACTCAACTGAGCTTTATTTGAATGTTATTTATAAAAAAACATGGGTATACCATTCTGCACCTAAGATTTGACCCAAAGCACACTTAAATCAATAGAAAGAGTTTCAGGAATTAGACAGGTACAGCTGATGAAAGGAAATTAAACAAATCAAGACACATAAATACCATTCGTGCAGTCTGTTCAGTTCTAGAGTCAGTAGTTTTAGCTTTTGCAGAGAACAAGGTTTTTGGCGGCAACACTAATCCTTTCAGTGGAGCCACAGTTACTGACCTCCTGCAGATCTGGAATCTGATCCATTCCTTACTGAAGTCAGTGGGACGACTCACGTGCAGGATCAGACTCTTATTTCCTAACTGTAAGTCTGTTCAGCACCAGAAGGGTGATGAAATTTAAGCCATTTGCATAGAACAGAAATATAGAAATTGAACATCTGTAAGTGCATCCAAAAAGTGAAGGGAAAGCATTCTAATTCTTCCGAAGAGACTTAAAGCTAAGTTAATACTAGTCAGACTCATTGAGACCTGGAAGATTCTACTCCCACATATTTAATGTTGTGCATTTCCTTTGGGTTTTTTCCAGCAGACTTTGCAAACTGGAAGGTAAATATTTTTGATTGTAAGCCATCCCCTCCTCCTGCCAACAAAACAAAACAAAACAAAACAAAACAAGAGTCATGCTTCAACATAATGAGGGTACACACATTGCTGCATTGTTACCGCTGGACCATCAAAAAAACCTCATTAAAATTATCATGATTGCTTCTTAGCCTTGTGACTAAAATCAAGTGTAGAGTATGATCAGTTTAATATCTACTGTATGATCAAAACCTACTCTTGCAGGAGGTGGATCTGGTGATCTTACAGATCTTTTCTATATCTAACTCTAATGTCTATGTTTTATTATGTGAGATTCATTGTGGCAATACGACCTCTTGCATAATCTCAGCAGAAATCCCATGGGATAATGTGACTCCCAAATTGAGTAGCTAATGAACACAAGTGTGAATTTTAAATATGGGCTGGAGTGATTTCCTCTTCTTTTGAGGAAGCCTCTTTTTTCCAGGATTATCCCTGAAGTGATCCTATGTTCTTAATCCTGGCTCATTGATGGATGTTTGTGAGTCTCAAAATAAATTTCAGAGATTCCTAAATATTGTTGAACTATGACCCAATGACATTTTGACACAACAGGATGACGCACTACTTCGTCATTGTGCTATTATTTAAATATCACTTTCCCTTGATGCACAAGCCTGTTCCATTGTACAGTCCTGCTTGGAAATTCCAGTTAGCTCCATTAGAACCCTTCAATAGGTCTTAATTGAATTCTGCTGGACTCTGTTGATTTCAGGTAAATTACAAGTTTGCACTGAAACTAGTAGTCCAGGAGACCTGTTACTGTGTTTCAAAACTTTGTTGCTAACTAGAATTAATAGGAAGCAGGAGTATTCTGAACAGGAATTTCCACTAGATGGCAATTCCTAATAAGACCTTGAGGATTTTACAGCTTTCATCCGTATGCAAGAAACAAAAAAGAGCTGAGATTGGATTTCATGCTATGACATAGAATTCTTAGCAGTTTTCTCACACCAGCTTCCATGCCTGCTTTCACTTCTGCAGCCTGAAAAGCTGCTCATCCTGCAAACACATTGATGTAGGATCTTTAAATGCCACGATAATCAAAATCAATTTTCATCCCAAAAGGTAGGAAACTGATGCAAAAGGTCATCAATTTAGGTGATTGTGTAAACTTCAAGGGAATATAGGGGCGGGGAAAAGAGGTGGGGCGAACACTTCTGCACCAGGATTATGTACTGTAAAAGATCTAAGGTAAAGGCTAGACATTTCCTTCCATAGACTACAATTTAATGAATTTGTTTGAGGGAAAAATAGGTGGATTATAATAGAAAACCTATGTGTGCCTGCTTCAAGTTACATTTTACTACTTCTGCCAAGGTCATTGTTGATACCAGAGTTTCTGTCATGAAAGTGCGAGTGACAAAAGTTAATAATAGTATCACAGGAATTAGAAATAGGAAAGATCTATGAGTGTGAGGTCATCTGGCCAACCCTCTTGCCAGTACAAAATTGTTCTCCAGTGCTTTGTCTGGTCTTATTTAAACTGACTCAAGAGATGGGGCAGTCCCCATGGGAGACTAGCCTGCAGTGTAACAGAGCTCATGCTCAGGAAATTGTTCCTGATATTCCGCTCACATTTTCCCATTAATTTTATCCCATTGCCCCTTGTTACACCATCTGACCTCCCCTCCCTTGAACAATCCAAAGTGTTACTAATTGATGAAAAAATCTCAACCCCAGTGTGCAAATAGTAAGATATTGAGCATCTGGCACAAAGCTGCATGTTACACAAACTCAAGTGGAAAACAGAAAACAGAGCAAAACAAGTCTAGGCTGAGATTTTCAAAGGTGCTCAGGGGATTAAGGCACACATCTTTTCTCTGTTTTGCACTCAAGCTGGTGTAACATGCTGATTTGTGCCACACTCTTGATATTTTCGACTTGTGAATTCTGAAGTGTCCCATCACATGCAAAGCATTTGGGGCTCAATTTTGCAAAATGATCTTATCCAGCACAGCATCTAAGCTTGTGCTTAACTTTAAGCAAATGAATAGCCTCATTGACTTCAGTGGGATTAACCACATGCGTGACATTAAGCATGTTTAAACACTTTGCTAGAGTGGGGCTGGAGTGTTCAGCACTTTGTAGCATAGATTTCTTGATGCTCAAGAAAAAACATCTTACTAATAATGAATTGTCTATGATTATTGAAGCCCCATAGGGTTGTCTACACTGTGCACTGAGGCCAGGCTCTGACTCAGGTTAGAGTCCAAGCCACACTTCTGTCCACAAACAAATCGGTCTGATTTGGGTCAGCAAGCACTCAGATCCTGAGAACTAGGGCCCTGCTTGTAGGGTGGATCAGAGCCTGAGTCCCACTGTGACTTGGGTCGAAGCCGTGTCATTTAGCAGTGTGGATGCAGCTTGAAACACAGACTCGAGTCAGAAGGTCTGTGTAGTACAGTATGGACATGTTAGCACAACTGTGAGACTCAGGTCCAGCAACTATAAACCCAGGTTTACAAAGCAGTATGGACGCTCAAGCATGGGGTTGGAAACAACAAGTCCACAAACCTAGGTGCCACACACCCGGGTTTACAGTGCAATGTAGACCTACCCATAGACATATTATGCTAAATTGGGCAAAGCACAGGGAACAATCCTGTACTGGTGGATAGCAGGGAGGATGTAAAAGATGTGCTAACAAGATGTCCCCATCTGTAATTTCTAGGATTAATTTTATCTAGTGTCTTATTGAAAACATTTTATGCTATGGTCCCTCTGCTTGTCCTTATTAATATGCAGCCTTTAAAATATTATGATTTACTTATTTATCCTATTTATAAATTGTGCCAGCTGAAGTCTTTTCAAAACACATTTATAATTAAAAATATTCAATGCAGCATATATCAGCTGAGCCAATACTGACTAATTCTGCAATACTGTACCTCCCATCAACCAAATAACCCATTGCACACCACTGCAAGCAACTTCTTTGGTTAAAGGAAACAGGCCTTGCAGGGTTTGAATAACTGAAAATTGGTTATGCTTCTTTGCTCCTTATAGGCATTCCTGTTGCTACAAAATGTAGTATCAGTTGAGTAAACAGCACTTAAAACTAGCCAAAATCTTAAAGTTGCGGGATCTATCCTTGCAACTTAACGTAGCTCTACATATTTTTTCCATATTGTCACAACCCTGCTGCTACAAGTGGTGGAAATGTAATAGATGTATGCAAGGGAGGTTTTTTGATTCCTTGCCTTGAGCAAAAATTAGTTAATGATATTCATTCCGATACAGTATGGTACAAATGGGGCACATGAAATGGCTTAAATTAGGTCAAATTGAATAATTGAATTTGTTCTTTTACTTAAAAACAGCTTAATCAGCTGAGAGTGCTGGAGTCTAAAAAATAGTTTAATTAAATATTAATCAGGAGTTTATGTTTTGAGCTTCTTTATCGTTACTTGCTGCTGTTTTATTTATATTTCTATATTTTTCCCTGTTGCAGCTCTGTGGGGATGAAGTTCAGCTGTTCTCCCTTGATGAAGAATTTGACTATGACAGTGTGGCATTGACCCCCAGGTTCTCTGAGGCTGAGATGAAAGCCATTATAAACTTGTCTGAACAGAAAAAAGTAAGGATCGGCCTTAAGTCACCAGGATCTGAAGACTGAAGCTGACGTACCTTGCTAGGCATTCTCTGTTATTCAGCTGGAAAAATATTTTTAAGGGGAAAATCCAACTCCCTCTTCTGCAATCATAGCGGGCTCTTTTGCAATGAAGCCAGTGTGGGCCTGTCATAGAACCTGTGGGATGTTCATATACCCTGTGCAGCACTGGGCTGAAGTAGCCTCCCCGTAGTATTATTATTTATTATTTGTATTACTGTAGTGCCTAGGAGCTCTAATCATAAATCAGGACCCCATTGTGCTAGCTGCTGTTCAAACACAGAACAAAAAGGTGGTCCCTGCTCCAAAGAGCTTACAATCTAAGCATAGCAGCTCCACCGCCTGGAGGGTAGATTCCTCTCTCTCTGCCCCCTTTACATATCCCTAGAGCAACTTGCCTAGGTACTCATACTGGATGCTGGGGTCTGGACTGGTTCCTATATGCATACAATTCCTACATGTGTCGGTGGGTTTTGAAAGACTTAAGCCCTGGTTCTCAGCCCCAGTTCCAGTTGCTTTGTTGTTCTCTGGCAGCACAAAGCAACAGGAATGGTTCCTTAAAAGGCAGCTAGGAATTCCTGTGTTGAAGAAAAATCCTTGAGTGGCATATAATGTGTGCAGTGCTAGAATAATGACTCCTTAGGGGTCAGTATAAACTGGTGTAAATTAGACTATGTTTTGTGCTGGCTTCAGCCCCCAACCAGCCCAGAGTTGTCTCAGGGCCGTTTTTGCCTGGCTCCCTCAGGAGTGTAAACATTAGCTTGTGGCAACTGAGCATTCAGCCTTTAGTCTCTTTTTCTGGCATTATAAGGTGAAAAGATACAGAGCTGTGGACCAATGATCAAACCCAGGAAGGATTTTGATACCTTCTGTGTGATTTCAGTTCTTCAGATCAGTAATATTCCTATTTTTTCAATGTTTTTTCCTTATGTGGGTTTGAATTAAGTGTGTATAATTCCTGAACATCACAGTAACGTCTTTTTTTTTGGTCACAAAAAAGTCTTCAGGGCAGGAGAAGCAGAATAGCAGTGATTTAACCCATTACCTAACTCGACAAGCAAAATTTAGACTGTAAAGACATATTTCATACATTTATATAGGAAATGGTCCCAAGGTTTTTCACCATGTGACATACATTCAGCACCACTGAAATGCAGCAACCTGTGGGGTGGAGCGTGAAAGTGCATACATCATGGTGCATAGCATGTGAGGAAAGGAGAACATGTGGCCAAAGGCCCTGGGGAAGATGCTTACTCTTACACAGAGAGTCATGAGATATGTAGGACTCAATCCTTCTTACTTTTCATCAGCCATTGGGGCTATTGCATGAGTAAAAGTAGCAACACCTGGTCCATAATGGGTCAGATACATACTGGTGTAACTCCATTAACTTTAGTTTGTGGACCAACAATTCATCTTTGGCATAACACCATTAACTTTGTGATAGAAGATTACAGTGATGAGTGTGGTAAGAATGCCTGGGTAGATAGCTTTGGGATTGAACAACATGCAGTTTAAACACTTTGAATGAAATCCATAAGGCTGGATGGCTGCTCCAAAGCCAACAGTTTCCATGAGTCAAAAAGGGGCATCCTTGTTCCAAAGGAAATGATTTGTTTCAATTATATGGCAAATTATAAACAGGCATATTTTTGACACTGACAGCAGGATATTTTTTGTTTTGATTGATTAGACAACATCATCTGAAGCAGGGTTAATAAACAGGGGAAAGGAAGAAGAGAGTGCCCAGATACTATGTAGATAGGCAGTTGTATAAAGCCCTAACATAGGCTAGGTAGAGAAGGTAAACAGTATAGAACCAACCTGTGGGGAGAACATGAGAACATTTTTTAAAACTGTGTTTAAAACTATGCTAAAGCTGTGGTAAAAATGGACTGAAAACACTGTCCTTAATTCATTTTGTTTTGCCAAGTACAAAGTCCTGTGTATAAAATGGGGGGAGGGGAGAGCCATGGCTAGATTTCAGCTAGATGAGAAGGGGGACCTGGAAGGGCATTGTTATAGAAAAGGTTGAGATCCAGTATATTAAGACATCCAGGCCTCCCTTAAAAACATTAACTAAGGCTCACTGCATCCCTGTTATGTAAGTTCAGTGAAGCTGAACTACCTCTAGTAGGCAACCCTCTGTTTAAGAGACCACCGTAAAACATCCCCAGAGTTTCCAGACGTTGTTCAACCCCAAGCTGAAGAACCAACACTATTCGGAAACAGAGTTTTGCAGGTCCAATAGGCCAGGTTTCATTGCATTCGTTGCCCTATTTTTCAGAAGGATAAACTCAGGCACAGCGAAGTTAAGGGTCAATTCCACTTCCATTGAGGTCAATGACAAAACTTGGGCAAAGTTGCATAATGTATCAATAGGCCAAATCTAGCCCTGGTAAATGTAAGCACATCTACTATTGACTCCAGTAACAGTTGTGTCCCCTACCCTAGGGATGAAGTTAGCCACTCCCTTCCCTTTCTTTCAGATGGATGCACTTCTCTTACCTACTTCTCAGGGTCCATATTATGTTCTATACACTGTTATTCAGATAGATCATTACGTGGTTCAGTTTGGGATAAAGAAATACACCTCATTGGTTAATGCTGAACAATTGTTAAACTCTGGTACAACATTCATCTTGTGCAGAGAGGTGGGATACTTCACTTAGGCCTCTCATGAGTTATCCTTTCTCCCTCTGCTTATAGAGATAAATATCATAATGGAGAGCAGGCACAGTAAGTTAGACTTGCTGGTCAGCTCATTTTATTGACCTGCTTAGATGTAATTGAGTTGTTAATGTACCGTTTCATTGCTTATCTGCTGCTGGGATATCATATTTCCTATCCTGTAATTATTCATCAAGTCTTTATTCAGTTTATATTGATACCTAGATAGATATAGATAGATAGATATCTGGTATTGTTTAATTGTCTGCATAATAAGACTTGGGGGCCTGACTGGTAGATTCCTTCCTCCCCACCCAGTAATTAGCATTTGGCTGGGGGGGGGGGAGGAAAAGAGGGGGAGAGAATGACCTAACACACACACACACACACACACACACACAAACTTTTTATTTGCAGCCAATTGTACTAAATTAATTTTCCTCTCCTCCAGAATCAGTTCGCTTGTACATGGCAAAAATCCACATAAGGGACAAGAAACAGTTCAAGGTTCCCCCTTGAGGAGTTTTTCTCTAGATTGTTCCTTCAGGGTGGGGTTTTCCCCCCTCCCAAAATGACCAGGATTTTGAACTGCAAATCTCACAGATCTCGGAGAATTCATCAGGATGCAGAAACTATAGAGGGGAAATGTAGAAAACAGAGCTTAAATTGTTCATTTGTTAGTTTCAACACGAAGTCCTCTTGCACTCCTTCTCTACCTGCAGACACTTAAGAACACCAAATTTGTTATATTTAACAAAGAAATCTAATACATTTTCAAATCATGTTTAGAGCAGTTATTTTCCCAATCCAAGTTAGTGTTAATTATAATAAAGATTAATAATTTTTTAAGAGGATAACTTGCTTGCAAGTGGTGCTAACACACAGACACACAGAGACACACACACTCTCTCTCTCTCTCTCTCTTCCCATTTCTTTTAAAGTCTTGTAATCTAACCTATCTATATGAGGATTGGGAAAACCTAGGGCAAAATTATGTACACTTTGGAATTGTTTTTAGAAGTCCCCACATTCCTCAGAAATAGTGACAGGTTGTTGAAGAGGTTCAGATACTGGGCTCAGAGCCAAACCTTTGTGGTATAGAAATCAACATGGAACTAAATTCCATGTATGGCACAAATCCAACAACCCCATATATTGCACAGTTTGACTAACCAACAACTTGGATGTCAAAATATCCACTTGGCTAGCAGGATGAACTATGCCCACTACGGTTTTTACCACTCATTTTTAGTAGCACTCAGTGATAGCCTGATTATCACTTTGGCCCAGATTCTGCAGTCCAAGGGAGGGCAGGAAAGGCCAAGCAGAGAGTGGAACCTGTTCAGTTTCACTTCACCAGGAGCCTGCAGCCTCTTCAGACTGCACTATGAAGGGTCCTAAGCCCTAGTTCAGTTGCATGCAGGTATGCACATCTGCTGGTCAAAACTCCCTGCATAAAGAATTGTGGTGGAGCAGCTGTGGGTGCTACTGCAGCCCTGAAGCTGTAGTATTGGATGCAGAGTGGCAACTGAAAAGGGTGGGGCAAAGATTCATTTGCTCTGATCCCAGCAGACCTCATCAGCACATAGTTCATTTACTGAGGCTGAGTGCTGCTGAGAGGGCTTGAAAATGTTGGCTTCACAAACCGCAAAAATTCAGCTCACGATAGTTCAAGTGACACATGAAAGATGAGGAAACCCTTGATAATGATTCTTGACAGCCTCACGAGATGAGTTCCCTGCACCACAGAGATGAGCACTTGTGATAAGTAAGGGCATTCCCACCGCTATGGACTTTCTTGTGGTGAACTGGCAGTTAGCACAGGTGGGCGTGAGGTGCCACATGTACCTTGGGGGTTCTCTTGAAGGGAATGTATCCTTTTCACGGATTGGTTGGTTGCTTTGGCCAGTCCCTGGCATCTGAAATTCTGCCAGGTGTTAAATGTCTGCCTGTCCTTTCTGAAAACAAAAAGGTCGTTTTCTCTTAAAGGGCTTTAATTAAGTTCTAAACTCCTCAAATGATTATGAGTTTGGTAAAGCCGTTTGAGGAGACATCTTGTTCTGTGTTGGCAGAACTATTGTACAGCCATGTCACATGTTTATGATACTGTCAGATTCTAAGGAAGCAAAGTGGAGATATTTTAGCTTTACCACTTGTTTATGAAATATTTGCAAGAAGAAAAGCAAGGGTTAAGATGTACTGTCATTCTTATAGTCAAGCTAATTTATATGAGATCACATGGACTCACAGCTAAATGGAAATCAATTGTAATAAATTGTGAGAATGCAAAATGGTTGTCTTATTTACATAATCTCTGACAAAGACAATGGCAATGAAAATTCCCCAGAGCAATCAATTGCGATCTTATACAGGATATTGGGTATCTTCTTCAGAACAACTATTCACATACTCATGTTTCAAAATAGCAAGTAAGGATGGATGTAAACCAAACCCCGGATCTGATTTCAAGCTGAGCTGCAGGGGCTAACCCCACTCACTATATCAAGGGCCAAATCACACTCCCAGGTCTGAACACCCCAAACTTTGGGGAAGTTCAAACTTGGGCCTGTCTCTAAATGTTTCTTAGTGCTGTTTCTAAGGGCTCATCTGTACTACAAAAATAACAAAGTAAGGGGACCTGCCTGTGTGGAAAAGTCTCATGGAATTTAATAATAATGAAAACAATTGGGTTCTATAGAAATGTAATAGCGTTCTATAGAAATTATTGTAAAAACATAGAAATTACATGGAAAATTATCTTTTCTATAAGTTGAATCAGCCTAATAAAAATTCTATAGCATGGATATAATTTTCTAGTTAATTTTATAGAATGGTTCAAAAACCTATGGGAAGTTTATGATTTTGTCATGAAGATGATTACAACACAGCTGTCCTTTGACCCCATTACAATAAGGTTAAAATTTGTAGGCAGGACTTAATTGTGTTTCATAACCATACTAAAGTCCAAGGCTTTTTCTTGGTTGCATGCAATGATTACAACAGAGTTAGAGCCCATCAGCATAACATTTTTGAACTACGGTGTAACCGGGCCTTCAGACATGGTTGTTTTTGTCGTGCAAACAGGCCCTAGCAGTAAATAAACCTCAAGATTCATAGGTATTGTAGAACACATCTGCTATTCTGTTCCTATGAATAAAACCTTAGAATATCTAATATGCATAACTTTCAGAAAGATGCAAGTGTCATCCATCATATTACTCCTGTTTCTCAGAATAAATCAGCTAGAGGACAAATTCCACCCATTACTTAGAAGTGTTGATGCTGCCATTTAGATTCGCTGCAAATTGCACATTCACTCTTTAAAAGATGGAAGCTGAGATGCATTTTTTTGGTTTGTGTCAGATTTACAACTAGCTTCCCTAAACATGACAAGACAATACATTTGTCCAATGAGCTATTTTCCTGCTGGATACATTTTTACAGTAAAAGAAGATGGAAGGCTAGTGTCTGTCCCAGACAGCATCGATGCTGTGTTAGTATTTTTATGCATAAGCTTAATATTTACAAAGCTTTCAAAAACAAAGAATCAGGAAAGTACAAATTATGGTCAGACTGCTTATTGAATGAAAATGTAATGCAGGATTGTCCTTTGTTTAAGTTAGATGCTTAGACTTAGTTTCCCAGCCCACCAAAAGTTCTGTTGTTAACTAGTCTAGTTCAAAATCCAGGCTGTCAAAACACTGACAGCAAGCACTAGCTGAATAGTATTCACTGAATCAAAAATTTGACCAATTTAAGGCCTTTTTGTTTTGTTTATGTAACACTTGCAAACAGTTCCTGAATTCTGCAGATGTCTGTCACTCATAAGCGTTCATCAGATAGACTGGATGAATAATTTCCTGACTTGGGCTTGTATAAGGACTGGATGCAGAAAGATTTACTGTTTGCTGTTTGTGGCATGTGATTTGTCACATAGCATATTTTTCGCTCTCTGAGTCATTGGATGACTG